AGTTTCAGACTTCCTACGGGATGCTTTATAATTTAAAAACTGGAGAAAGCAGCTTGTCTGTGTCATCTCAACAGGTGAGCAAACAGTGGTCACAAAATGATTTCACAGCTTGCTGTCAGACTGCTGAACTAAATACTGCTAGGGAGAGAAAACCGCTCTGAAAAAGATAACAGGCAAGGTCTGCAACAGCGTGCAGAAAAAAAAGCACTGCTTAGATTTGCGTCACGGAGAAGGGTCATGGAAACGCTGTAAAATGAGGATCCCAAGGTAGCGCTGTCCTTCTCAGTCTTTGTCTTGGCAACGCTGGAGGCAGTAAGCGGAAAACCTTATTCTTTGGAAGCTGTAGATGGCTGTGGAGCAAAAGTATGCTCCCCACCAGACAGCTTCAGTCAGCTCACAAACTTCTTTATTTTGGGGTTTCTTCCCTGAAGCTGGCTGTGTGCGAAGGCTCTGGTGGCATCCCTGATACCCCCTGTCAACAGGTTGCTTTTAATAAGAGCTTCTAGCCGAGGCTCGTGGAAGGCTTTAGCGAGCCATTTCCTGAGGGAGCCTGGTGCACGATGTGAATTGTGGCAATGGCTCTGCATGTGGTGGAAAAGACTTCTGCATTTTACCAGGCAAGAGCCACTTTGCATGTTTGTGCTGATCTAGGCTATAACCCCTAGCTGGAGCTACGAGGAAGGGAGGTATGTAGGATTCTTCCTGCTGTGGGCGAGTCCTGGAGAGCCCTCCAGGTGTCCATGCCGGTGGCTCAGAGGCCACATCAGAGTTTAATTTCTTGTGAGTTCAAGCTTGTGTTGTCCTCTCAGAGAGGAACGATCATTCACAGGACACTGCCTTGGTTTATTGAGCTCTTTCCCCTATAAAAGGAGAAAACCAGACTGGGAAAAGACCCCAACCTTTTGTGGCCACAGAGTCAGGCAGAGTAGCTTCTCTTCTGCAGTAAAGAGTTCCTCCCTCAAATAAACCCCAAGCGAAGCCGAGACCTCAATTAGTGCTTGAGCAAGGACTCAAGGCATTCCCCAGCATGCATGTTATGCAAGGGTCAGGTTCTGCTGCCCTGATTCCCGTTCCTCCCTGAAACTGCAGGCATTCGGGCACATGCCTCAAATACATGAGCAGTCTCACCTACTGCACTGGTCTACCCCAAAGCGTCCCGCTGAAACAGAGCCAGCAGCCCTAGTTTCACAAGCACTGACACCCACTGGTCCTGTGTCTGGGGTCACCCAGCAGCAGGAGCATCAATCAGGCAGTGATGTACCCGTCTCGTGTATCTTAGCTCTTTTCCTGCCTTGATAAAGGATCTATAGGAGAGACAGATCAGGTGCAAGATTAACCTATCGCATTTTTTGAGTGTTTAGAAGCTCATTTATGCTGAATCAGAGAGCAGAGTACATTACGGGACCCTCGTAATCCAGTGAGATACCTAAAGCCAGCTTGTTGTTTGTAAGCGCTCAGGAATGACTGCACTGGACATCTCTGCACCTGGACCCCCAATCCCACCCACTCCCATCACATAAACACCTATGAGGCAATTTATGACTGGGGTCTCTGGGGAAATGCAGCTCTGGTTATGAAACTGCATTCCCCCTACAAGCTTGGGACCCATACCATGGCACAGCTCCTTTTCTGCCCAACTCAGATTCCTGCAGCAACGCTTTCCATCCCCAGGCATGGGAACGGGGCTCTAGCCGCAATGTGCGTACCACTTACTACTCCTGCGTTGTGAGGAAAGGAACCGGAGGTGCAGGAAGGGGACGGCGTGGTATCGGTGCTGCCGGGCAGCCTGGGGCAGTCGTGGGGAGGAGCAGGTCTGCAGTGCTGCCCTGCATTCCTTTCTGCATGGGCTGGTGGGCAAGACGGGCTGAGAAATGGAGTGGGTGTGTTACACCCTCCTCTACTCGGGGCTCCCCAGCTGCCGCCCTGTGCCACAGCCAGTCACGCTCTGAGGAGTCTTGCCGCAAGGCTGGACCTTGATCAGCTGCATTTTTAAAAGCAGGACTCGTCCTTAATCTGCTGGGATTAAAAAGGGATGCTGTCTTAGTTACCCCACAGAATTTAGGTGGTGTAAACAAGTGTTTCGAAAACCCCAGGACCAACAACAATGTGTTGCTGTAAGCAAAGGCAAGCACTATGTCCTGGTTGGGTCCAAGCTGTGAGCTTCACACTGGAGTTTGAGACTCCAAACCCATGGTTCCACTAGCCCTGGTGGTTGTGGCTGCACCCAGCAGCTGGTGTCTGTCCTGTGGGGTGCATAGGACTTGCCTACCGAGGGTTCAGATGTGCTTCCAGCAGAGTCATTGCATCCTCTCACTGGTAGAAAAGGGAGAAATGGGAGGGCGGGCGGGCAGAGAGGCTCAGACAACGGTTCATTGGATTAATTTAAAAGTACATTCTTCAATAGGTTCAATCTGTTTCACAGCTTTTCTTTCTGCCTGCCTGGCTTCCTCTTGTGGGATGGCCACCCAGGTCCCATCTCCACTGGCAGGGCATGCCAGGGAGCTCTCTCTCAGTCACTCTCGCTGCTGGTTCGGTGGGATGCTGCCCCACAGCCGTAGTTCTGCCCTGCCAGCAGACAGCGAGACCTTGCTGACAGAGGACACGCTGCGGGCCAGGGGCTGCGTGGGGAACATAATAGTGCCTCGGGGTGCCTCCAGGAGCTGCCAGATCTCCCCCGAGGTGGAGCTGCCCAGATACTCCCAGGGCCGGCGTCCGCTGCTGTCCCGCACCTGCACCTGGCACCCCAGCTCCAGCACCAGCACCTTGATGACGAGCTGGTGGCCGTGTATGGCAGCCAGGTGCAGCGGAGTGTACCCACAGCCCGAGCGGGCGTCCACGTCCCGGGCCAGCCCCGC